GGTTCGTTTAACTATTAAACGTGATGTATGTTTTTTGGGGAGTGGTTAATGAAAGTGTTCCAAAACGCGACATCAATTTCTTGACGAACTAATACTTTACTAGCATGCTATGTTTTTCACTGTCATAGTTTTACTATACAACATTTACAGTTTTGCATTTTCAAGTAATAAATGTACTACACTTAACTGTGTTCAACAACTTTACTAGTAGTTTCAACATCCAGAGTGTTAAAATTTAAACATACAAGATTATCATACTAAATGCTTTTGATTACATAAAACATAGCTACATTATGTTCTTATAGTTTATGCTTTATGTCACACTCTAAATCAACATATGTAGATTCTGGTTCAGTTCCTTGTTATAATGAAGTAAAAATAATCATTATTCTTTATATACATTACAAATGAATTAAAATAACCAAGAAATTCAGAAATCATGCTAGCCGTATTTGTTTGTTTGACAAGCGGGTTAACTAGGGTGTTATAACTTTAACGTGCTGGTATATTACCCTATTATAGGATGAGTATTAGCATTAATTAGTAGCTTTGTTTTTGTTGGCATTAAGTATACTTTATCTTTGTAGGTGTGGTACAGAATTAACTAGCAGATGTGGTAAATATATTTTTGCATCTCTCTCCCGAGAGAGATTACACCGATAACCCTTCACATGCAAAATGAGTTTTTGAACAACGAGCTAAGGGGTTAATCTCGTATAGTTAATGGTAGTAAATCATTTTTTTACCCCCTCTGGTCTTAGTTGAGAGCTGTAAGCAACAATTAGTTTGGGTGCTAATTTTTCTGTGGCAATCCAAAACTAGCATTTATCGGGATCTCTCGTCTGTCATATGAGTGCCATATGAACTACTGCCAATATATATATTTTTTCAAACAGAAATTACCATATATGTATGTATACTATACTTGACTAGATACGTTATAATGTTCGTTCTGGAGTGTACTCTACTAGACGAGCTTACAGTTTGGCTGCCTGTAAAATTGATCTAAAAACTCATGGAAAGAACGTTCGGAATGTAGTTGTTGAACATGATATATGTCAGAATGAAAAAGTTAATTTACCTGCAAATGGAAATACTTTAACTATAGATAATGATGCCATTTCAGGATTTATTAGCGATACTCTACTTGAAAGTGATTTTATCGGAAATGTTAATAAAGCTACTTCTCAGTTAGTGATTTTTTAGATATTTAACAGTCACTTAAATTGGAAGGTTGATTTTCTTCTCGCAATTTGATGATTTATTCGAAGTTACTGAAAGGGATGCGATTTAAGCAGGAATGTTGATAAAGCTACTAGTCACTTAGTGAATTATTCGAGGTTAGTGTGTGTATGTGTGAAATGAACTTTTCTATATTACAGTTTTGTGTATTTTGTGTTTGAAGCCTTTTTACATTCAAAATAAACAATATCATGATATATTCTGTGTAGTTAAGTTCATAAATAATACATATAATACCTTGTTCTAACTTAGTAGTAAAGGAAATCCTTAATCCTGAGCGTTACATAGGTGTAGTGTGAAAGTAATGGTTCGTAGCAAGGAAAAACATACATAAATCAAATATGCAAAAATCATAGCTGTTTATGCAGTTCTGGATGATGTATAATATTAAAAAATAACTAAAAACCAAAAATGTTATAACATCTCAATGAAACGCTGATTTATGGCTAGTTGGATATCCAGTGCATAAAATGTTTCTCGCTTCTTGTTTATTGCATTCAGAAGAGAGCCTCTCTCACCGAGATAATAGAATAGTTTGGTATGATCCCTGTCATTGAGCTTGCTTGTTTTATCATCAGTGCTTTCAGAACTTGAGGCAATATTCTTAGTTGCCTGAATGTTCCAAATACAATTTGCTGGTAGAAGCTTTGTCTGTCTCAACATATAATTTATAGAAAATTCTTAATCCGTTGACCTGTCTGTTCGTTCGTGTATCTACCTATTTGTCTGTGTAGCTTTTATATTGTTTTATTGTATTTGCTGGTATGTAAACGTAGTTTTAAAAACAGTTTATGCAAACAAATATTGTGAAATAAAACAACCAGTGTTATGTTGACGAAGGATAACGTTGCTGTTCATAACTCTTTAATACACACTAAGAAATGATAATTATTTTATAGATAATTGAAATCTCCTCGTAAGTATGCCCTTTGTAACTTTGTTCAGCATATTATATTAACCAGAAACATTACCCACAAATAAAACAATTCATCTATTCTTGTTAACAATAGAATAATTTCTTCATATCTATACGCTGCATTCACTTTTAGCAAAGAATCCAAGAACCTTAAAGTAGAAAATGGTGATTTGCAAGTATTTTATTAGAAACTGATTGGCAACTTATGTTATTGCTAGGATTTGGGTATTACGTTCAGCAGGGTAAGGTGCAGTATCTGATACAAAGTTAAAGTTCGAGTTTTGATGGCATAGAGCTTGTAGGTATGGTTTAGGTAGTTTACTTGTGGAAAGTATAAGTCTAGGAATACTTTTAATTATGGTGATTTGTACAGTTCCATAATTTGTTTTTCTCATAAGGAATGGGAATGCAGTGTTATAAGAAGTAATATTGTAATCGCAAAAAATATCGTATCTAATTGTTTCCAACTCGTTATTGTCTATTAGAGAGAAATACACACACACATATAAATATTTCGACCCTCTACTTAGGTCACATCAGACATGAGAAAGTAACGATAATAATTAGGCATATTAGAAGATAAAAGATCAAAATAATCCTCTAATTGTGTGAATGAAGAATAATAATAAAATTAACAATAACATTATTGACTACAAACGATATCAATAGAGGCGAGAAAAGAAGATTAAAAATCTTTACTTTTGAAATATACATTCTATTTATAAAGTTGTTTGTTAGAATTTGATTTTATGGGAAAAGTTGCTTTAAAACAAGTTAAGTGTGTAGGAGGAATGTGTTATATTTAAAACAGGGGACATTTGTTTTATGGATAGATTTTCTTTGATTAACAATTCAAGGTCAGATTGGTCATTTCAAAAAATGGCGAATCCATTTTCTTGGCTATTATTCCTGATCGCTGAACTGGGTGAACTTAAAAAGATGTTACCTGACTTCAGTGATGCTCTCATGTGCTCGTGGATGCGGACGGTAAAATGTCGTTTACTTTTCCCAATACAGTCGACCTTGCATCACCGCATTGTATTTATGTACAATCAAGGAGCAAAGAGAGAGATAGATATATGATCCTTTGTGCTAAAGAGATGTTTTAATCTAAAGAATGGTTTTAAAATGACGTTCAGTTTGATTTATGGGTAAGACCTTCTAACTAAAGATTTAAGGCTTTTAGAAGGTATGATACTTTGTTGACCTAGGAGGTAGCCAATAAAACTGGACACTTATCCACTGTGAAAATTTGTATGGGCACTTTAAGTTTTTTGTTTAGGTTTTCAATAATTTTCTAAGGGTATCCTTTATAAAATAATATGTAATGGAGAAAAACAGTTTCAAAGTGTAAAATGAAATAAGTTGAACAGATCTTAAAGGCTTGAGTCAGTAGACATGTGACTAAGTTGGTCTTATATCCTACAGGAGTGAAACAGGATGAGATGTCCTGTGAAAGTTTTCTTTCTTTCCATATATTGACGTTGAAAAACTTTGAGGATCTCGAGTAATTAGCATATCTAGAAAAGGTAAATTATTCTGTTCTTCAATTTCACAGGTAAACTTTATAGATGAGTTTTGCGAGTTTAAGTACTCAATAAATTGCTGAACTTCATCATTTGTAGCGTTTGTAAAATATTGGTTTGCAGTTGTTTGAGCAGTTGTTCAACTAAGATTGTTTGTAGTGATCCAGAAAAATATTAGCTAGAGTTGCTCTAGTGGGGACCCTATAGCCACTCCATCAATTTGATCGTATGTTTTTTATTTTTAATGGTTGTTTTTTACAACTTGAGTAATTTAGGATCTAAGTTGTTGAAAGAGATGTGTCAAACAAATGTCGACGGTCTTATCCAATGGACAGCAGATTCATTAGGTATTAACGGTTGAGAATTAGTATAAGGCATCTGGCTTCTTTGTAACTGTGCGTTCCGTTTTTGTTTATTATTATACTTAATAAGACTTCAATTTCGTAATAAAATAGCATACAATTCAACAGAATACATACTGACGATATGGTTAAAATAAAATACTTTTAAAATAAATAAATAAAATAGAGTATATTATAGTATTTCTTCAAATAAATGTAAAAAATATACAAACTAAAGAACTATTATTTAAACGTACTAAAATGTAGAGATGGTTTGTAACCCTTTTAAGTTCAAATGAAACTAAAAGAAAAATAATAATATATCTAAAAACTTACATGATAAATAAACAGTTTTACTGCGCCTAAAATTTTAGGTTTATTGACTTTTTAGTTTGCTGTTAATCTTAGCCTTTTTTGAGTAGTGCAATAGACACGTACTTACATGTAGGAAATTAAACTTGTAATTATGCTATTACTTTGTAATATGTATCAGTAAAATATTATATAATGACGGCTATTTAGAATTCAAAATTATTATATCTTAAGAAATCCAATATAATTAAGTTATTTATTTCAATTGAATTATAACTCATATTTTTTCAGCTTTAAATAAGTATAACTACAACTTAAAAGAAAGACACAATTGTATATTACAGAATTCAGTAAAAGAAGGCAATGAATCCGGACATTACGTTTATTTCAATGACTTTGCTTTATCTCAACATCCAGATCCAAAGCTCGCTTACGCCTCTACTTGACGTGTGCTCTACAGGTTATTACGTCACGGCCCCACGTTCTTTGGGATTGGGCAGCTTTCGTTGAATGATACCAGTATCAAACGTGTGGTATTAAGTAAGAACTGTATTCTCTAACTAAGCATCAGAGAGAGCACAGCGCGCGCCATCACGTGGGGTTTTACGCTCTGTATATTTATAATAACATTCAAGAACTTTAAAAATGTATCAGAAGCCTAAGATGTTCGAATACTGTACTGAGTATGCATTATTCAAATATTAATATACCAGAGACTTCCATCTTCGTCATCAGTCTTGAATCAGGTATTCTTGGAAGATTAAGGAACGGTGAGCTAAATTTAGTTTGTTTCTATCAGGATTTTAGTGTAAACTAGCCTTCCTAATCTTATCTCACTGTTATTAACCAAGCATGTTTAGACTTTACAGAAATACCAAATCAGTGAAAGGCTAATAACCATCTGACATTTGAACAGAGCTTCTTAAATCTTCCAATCAGATTTTACACAGGATTGAATGTAAAGCACTGCTGTTACTTTCCAATCAGATTTTACATAGAGTTTAATGAAAATAGAAAAATTAGCACATCTGTTACTTTCTCATCGTACTTTACACAGAAAACATTGTACTAGGGAAAGTTAGTGCTTCTTGCATTTCTCAGTCAGATTTTTCTGAGAATTCAAAGTAAAAGAACAATGTTGTATCTTTTTTTACTTTTCAACGTCGTTCCAAGAGCAATTCAAAGTAAAGGTGAAAGCTAGTGTTTTTTCACAATGTTTAATTCTACTCAGAGTACAATATTAAATGATAGGAATCCTTCCTCCACTTCTTAGTCAGATTGTTGACATAATTTAATATATAGATAAAATTATTTCTACCCTAGATTTAAAGTGTCGAAATAAATTACTCCCTCCTTTATATTTTTCTAGTCATATTCTACTCAAATAAGGTAAAAGTAGCCTTTTTCCATCTTCCGACAGAAAGGTATTTTTTCGTATACTTTCAAGTTATATTGTATATTTTCAAAGCAAAATGTAAGGAAAACGTGTATCTACATTCCACTTTCCTGTCACACTCTACGCATATTACAAAATTTGTTCAATTGAATCTAAAAGTAACATTTAACCTCTTACACTTTCTCTGTGAAGCTTTTCTCAGAATCTTCTGTATATAAGAAATGCAGTGCCTTTTCTGTGTTTTGGTGAGGTTATAATTAGATTTCGAAGTAATGCGGGAAAATTAATTTTTCTTTTTTATGTTTACAACTCCAGTCCTATTACACAAACAAGACAGTACGAGATTCTTCTCAGAAAACAGTGTACAATGTAAGAGAGTTATTTTACAGTTAGCTTGAGCTCCAAGTTGTAAGAAACAAAATTCTTTCCGCAGTTTTGCGGAAGTATGATGTTATCTACTTGAGAAGGTTTTAGGTGTTGCTTTTATTTTATCTCAAAAATAGTATTTTTGTGTTTGCGTAGAGTTTTTGATATTTATTTAATGAAAAGTTAAAACTTAACATATTAGTTAACATGAGAATTTGGATTTGAAAAATATTCAAGTTAGGGTATGTTTTACTGTAATGATGCTCTTATTATAGAAATGTATAGAGTGTCAAACTTAATATATATGTTTTTAATTTTTATTATGCGACCATACAAATTTATAGGTGATATATTTGTGTGAGACTGATAAAATGTTTCTTATAGTATCTAAAATTTGTAAGATTCTTTAATTGCAATGTGTTTGTAATCTGGATGTCTTAGTATAGAAACCGCTGTTTTGCATTTGTGAATTTAATGTGCTTCGTTTGCTAAATGGGTAATAAAACTGATGAGTAAGAGTATATCAAGTGTAATAAAACCGCTACTTCTTGGCACACATCATAAGTGCTGTAGTACTGATTGTAGGAATGGGCCAGATGTCCAATACAAATTATAATCTCAAACACACTCCAAACAGCATATAAACAAAACTTTGTACGCACTTTACACACAATGTTGAGTAGTAAACAAACCAAGTTAGAGTAATAAGCTACCAAAGCACTTAAGAAAGTCGGTAGAGTAAAAAAACAAAAAAATGCATAAAATCACAAATTTGCCAACTTGACTGTCGAACTTACTGACTGATTAGCATTGTTGGAAAGGTGTAGCTCTCTCCTGCCTTCACTTTATCTAAATCTAAATGCACATGGTTGAATTACGTTACCTTGACTAAAAGCATTTTTCTTACTTTTACTTATAACCTTGGTAATAACAAGTAATAACAATAACCATTTTGCAACGCTACTAATGAGCTAACAATACACTAGTAGCTATGTTCTATGATTACGAGCATGCTCTATGGGTTACCAACTAACAACCCGCCCTCATATCACGTGCGGGTGCACGATTGCTTATGTGCATGCGCTACATGATCAGCCTGTGGCTGTATCAGCTAGATAAGAAAACGTATACTACGTACATTCTCTACATCTAGATTCTAACTTTGATCTAACCTTTCAGTTCTATACATCTGATTCGAGGGTTCTGTGTTGGATAAAGCAATTATATCATAGTAGTTGGTGACTAAGACGTGATGACGAACGCTACCACTGCCGAATCTGACATGGCTTTGCTCCAGCACTCTGGAGTTAAAACAAGAATCATAAGTTGCATAAATTACCTTTAAATTATTTTCAAAGTAAGTGGGATCTATTGACATCCAAGGCTGTTCTTGAAACTATGTGATTTTTAAAATATGCCTTTCAAAGAAACAAAATGAGAGAAATGGAGAAAATCGTATGTTGATAACCTAAAAAAGTCTTTGTCTCAGTAAAGAGAGCATTGGTGCAATAATAGAAACAAGGTTAGAAACAGTAATGCAGAATATGCGAAACAGGCATTAGCCATTAATCCAGCCAAAGAAAAGGCTGCCACCCTGGCTAAAGGGAAGAAAAACTATAAAAAATATAAGAGCAAACGCCAGAAAATGTCGAGAGATAGCTCTAAGAAAAGCTACGAGAAGTATAGGTCTATAGGCCAGACTCTCGAGACTTAGTACCACAAAGTGCTGTGAGACAAGTTAAAAAATAATTAAAGAAATTAGGAAGATCAGCCTCGAAATGCATTTTGTTTGCATGAAATAGGCTATATGCAGATATACTAATAAATATAATAATAATATACTAAATCATATTTGGTTTACTTAATAAGAAGCCAGATACATGAATATATGAAGCGTGTTTTTGGACTGACACATGCATGGATCATAATATTTAATCAATTCGTCACCCAGTTGAATCATAGTTTCATATGGGTTATTTATTGTTGGAGCGATTTGTATATGCTATTGCAATGGGATGTCACCACCATTGTCAACCTTGGCACCACGGGCGACATATTAGCTGTATTTAACAGTGCAATGATTTTTGGTTGGAGAGTGTATAACAACTCTTTCCAAGGAAGGACATTTATATAGCAAGATTGTCAAACGATGCAGAACCAAATGACATATAACTTTGTATAAAGTAGTCTTCAATACCCTCTATGAAAACATAAACCATGTAGAGTAGAATGCTTACATTAGCAAAGGGCTGCGAAACCACACTCCAATGAAACCTGAATAAAGCTCTCATCCTTAAAGTTTAGACTATTTTTATAACAAAGACATCTTCGATCGAAAAAAGTAATTTATGACAAACAAGATAATATTTCATTTTACTTGTTACTAAGACATTAAACAAGGATTTAAATGAAACAAGCTAGAAGTTCACAAACTTTCAATCAAAACTTTAAACCATTGACTGTTTTTATTAGAAAGATGGCCAAATAGAGTAGGGCTTATGTGAAATAGTTTGCTTTATAAAAGTCAGATTTGATAGAAAAAAAAAGAGATACAAATAATAACTTTAGCCACTGACGTTGATACAAAACTCCAAGACATACTTTTTATCAGTCGGAGATGTAATGGGAATTCTGTCTGAGTTAAGACAGTGACTTACACAAAGTTTAAAGTGGTCACAGAAATGTTCTGTAGATTTAGATTAGAACATGTTTCTTATCAATCAATTACTTCTATGTTTTTGTTGGAGGTAATCCATCACAGTGACGAAAGTACGGCACCAGGCACAGGAGAAAGTCGAGCCTGACTGTACCAGTCGAATATCTACAATATAGTTCACTACTACCTTAGCGTATCGTATCGTAAGACAGTAAATAGATTCTTTGAAATGAGAAAGACAAGATTCATGCCCAAGCCACTCTACACTTGATCCATCATTGAAGCAGCCATTCTCATGTTGCTGCACTGAACAGATCGTCTGCCCCTGATTAAAATACAATATTGTCGCATTGGTAGAGAAATGAAGCCTTGGAGTAACATAGACACTTAATGATGTTGCTGCAAACTCTGGTGATCCTAAGAAACGTCCAAACGGCTTAAGCGATTAATTCAGCGACTGAAACTTGTCTTTTCGTCTTTGGTCTGCATAATGGTGCTTATTCTAGGCTATTTAGTCGCTCAAAATCACCGCAGTTGTTGTTTTGAAATCTATATTGCTCTATCAGTGGATTGTTAGTTTCTAGCAGCGATGTTGAAACAAATGTGGATGTCTATCCTTCCATGACTTTATTTAGACTGTCTATTGTTTTGTGCAAATATCAGCTCCCTAATAGTGTTCTCAGAGTTTCTTACTTCTGATTCGGATACAGCCAAAAAATTTAACATTTTTACAAAATTACATGCCAATGATAAATAAAATTGAAAGAAACACCTCGACATTAAATCAGCTAGCGATTAAATATAAAAATAAAAAATATAGGTAGCACATTCGACACCGTGTGTGAAATGTATACGTAACTAGTGACACATGTTATGCATACGTTGCACTTTTATTCAAGTTTATTTTCCAAGACCATATCAAATGTTTGCCCCTTTATTTAAGTATATATCAGAAGCTCGTATCTCTTTAACAGAAGTTGTACAATGGTTGATAGAAACAAAATGTTAAAGTTAGTCGTCGTTTGTTTGTCTTAGAGCAAAACCACATTGTATTACCTATTGTGTCCTCTGAGGGTATTCGAACCCTGGATTTTAGCGTAGTAAGTTCATGAACCAACCGCTGTCCCACCGAGGGACTTCTTTAACGAATATTCATGATCAGATAAGAATGAATGTCTGTTGGATGCACGTAAAGCTATTTAAAACCTACGCGATAGCAAAAGTGTTATTTCTAAAAATATATTTATTGTTTCTGTACTGAATATTTTCATTTGGAAAAACAGAATAATATGAACGACAATGATAATAATATTCTGAAGTCCTAGTCAGAAGAAAATAATTAAACCGCTTCTCTGTGGCTCAGTAGTAAGCCTGAGGGAATAAAACGCAAAAATTGAGTTTCGATACTCCCAGTGGGAACAGCTCATTCTATAGATTTGCGCTGAATAACAAACAACCAAACAAAAAGTAAAAAACTATAGAGAAAAGCTTCTCGTTTTTCTTCTTACTGGTGTTATTGTTACCTGTTGTTATAAAAACGTTTTTGTTAGTTAGTGTGGAGTAAAAAACAACAACAGGTTTACAGTATTTTTAGTAATGAAAACTACTTTCAGTACTCTTTAGATATTGTGTATTTGTATGCACAATTTGCTAAAAAATTAAATTTTACTAAATATGTTATCCTTGAAACATTTAACGAAATGTGTACTAATGACAATTTTTTTTCACTTTATCTTTCAAACACGTTTCTATAGTTATCTTACCTTTCAGGGATAAAGTTTGACAAAACCCTATCCACATATATAATGAAATTCTGTGCTTCTCTTTACACGGAAAACTAATATATTGTAGGTATTAAAGGTTGTTCTACGACATTCCTTGTCCTTTCATGTCAACATCATGACAAAACTTATTAAAATTAATATTTAATTAACACAACTCAATTTGTATTGGGTGTTAAATTAGTGAGCAGACATAAAAAGCGTAATCTCCTAGAGGTGACCCTTAAACATATATATATTATACAACTTAATATAAAATGGGAATTTATATGACTTGTTAAGAAGAACGTATTAAAGATCTTAAAAAGCACAAATCAAATAAATATTGCGTGTTAAGAATATGACTATATAGGAAAAAAGCATTTGTAGCTCACATGTTTCGTTTATCAATCTAATCAGCGTTGCTGTATCTAGAGTTATTGATTTCAGAAGATTTCAGCCAAAGTAGGGAGTTAGATATGTTAGTTTATTTCTTTTTACAGTCACAATAGTTGTATCAAGTATGGATTTCCAAATAAGTGCTATGTTGTACTTACTTTTCATACTGCATATTGTTTGTTAGTTTGATGCGCATGACTCGAGGCTGCTTAAATGTTGCGCTTAAATGAATCTGATTATGCGAAGAATTAACTTATAAAACCATGTTTTAATGTCATATCTTCCACTAAGATAAATAAAAGAGTCGACTGTTTTACTTGCAAATCAAGCTGTTATATTTCTGATTTTTGTTTTTTAGAGAAAAAATGCTATATTGCTGATCCCAAACCAGCAATAAAAATAGTCTGCAATCCTCAAGTTTAGTTGTTTTTATAGTCTGATTATATAGTGTTTATACAATTTGCTGGACTTTTGATGTCTGGGCTTTCTTGCTCACATGAGCCATGTGATGTACCTGAGCCGAAAACCCGAAGAAATCCACTTGCATTATAATGTTAACAAAATTCTATGAAGTAGATATTACTTTTGTACACCAAACGCTTTGTTGTTACCTTAATATAATGTTCTAAAACTGTCACAAGTGTCAACCACTATTTTCAAACAAATGAAAGAAGAATGATGTTTACGCTGCTTACTAGTGCTTACGGATAATCTTTTTATCTCGTATGTTATCACTTATGGCGCCTTAATATCCGTTACAAACGTAGTCTGACTCCTCTGTTTTGTTCTTTCCTACTGCGTCTAGTGATTAAGAACGTTCGAATACGTTCATTTAATGAACGGGTGAGTTATTCAAGAACACTACGCCATCAATAGTTGCAATCATATTCTTTGGCCGTTAGCTACTCCACTTTCTGTTGCCATGGAAACAAAGGTTGCTCAGACACTAGCGACTAGGAGGAGTACTTTGTTCTATTCGTTTCATTCCTCAACGTCGTTTCTCATGTAGGATTACTCCTGCTTACAGACGCCTACAGCAAGACCATATCTGTCGCTTAGCAACAAATGCATATGTTATATTCTTAAAAAAGAAAACCCACACAAAAAACACACTAAAGAGCTTATCAATACTTCCTTCAACTAATGCTTCTAATGTTTTATTTATTTTTAGATAAATTTGTATATACACCAGCCATTTATATTTTATTCAGTTGCATTCAAAAATAAATATATATTATTTATTTCTATCGTAGGAATAAACCAGGTATATTCATAATCGTATTGATCTCTTCTGCGTCACTATATATATATATATATAGCTAATTCCGTGAGAGCCGTATGACATTACAACTTTATTTGAAGTTCGTGAACCGCTGCAGTTTTTTTAAAAAGTAATTAATGGAAAAACATAACTACATGATTAAAAGTAACAAGTTTCTATTTCGGAATTAAACAAAAACAAGTACGGGAATGCTTAAAACACAAACATGAGAAAATAAGTTATTTTATGAGAATGAAGTTTAATGTATTATTTTAGTCGGTTAGTTTTATGGAGAAAAAAAACAACGTCATATGTGTTTATAGCGAAATACCAGAAATATTAAAATAGCGTTGAATTTGCTTATTTATCCAATGGCTGTTATCATATAATTTCTGTGAACACTAGTAATACATTTTAATTCCTGTTCAAGATTATTCAGTATTAAATTATGAACGCTGCAATGATATTTTCTTCTCTTTTTCTCGTTTGCTTGAACAATTTTAGGGCTGTAGAATATATTTTTATCGAAATTAATTGGATTAACAAAGAGAATCAAAGGTTGGTAGATTTATGTAACTTATAACAGTCATTTAAATGCCATGTTAAGGTTCGTGTGCACGTTTATTGAAGGTGTTTAGTTGTCAAAGTGAACCTATAGAATCCTTCAAGAAAACTATCACTTCTAAAACACTCACAGGTGCTATGTTTCTAAATACAAAACTAATGTATAAGTTAGACAAGAAACTTTTCTTTTTAAGAAATACTAGAAAGGTATAATTATCATCCATATTATTTATATCCTACCATGTGATTCTATTCTTACAGGCGTTGTGCTACAGAACAGCTGCTTTGAGATTAATAATCATTGTGTTTCTGGTTGAAATGATTTTGCATCAATATCATCTTGCAATCTTCTGAAAGAAAGGCATAAAGTAACCTAACTAGCCTCTTAGGATAACGTTGGTTTTGTTGCAAAGGAAATTCTTTGTAAATTCTATCAAGACTAAAGCGTCTCGCACGAGTGCAAATTTTTGATATTTTATCAACAAAGAAATAAAGATATCTCTAGTTTATAACCGATGTGCGAAACTAAGAAATATGAAAAAATATACCCTCTTAATAAACGAGTACTTGATAAGTTATAAGAGAGACGATAAATTATATTATTCTATCAGAGAAGATCAGCCAAAGAAAAGAATTGATTTGTATGGGTATTTCTTTAACAGAATTTATTTGTGTGAGTCTTTAACAGAAATAATTGTCTTGTTAACTATATTTTACACTTTTTACTAGTAAAAAATATTGTTTTATGGGATATAAATGGAAAAGTATATGACACTATAAAGGCAGTTTAACACTGATTTTTTCTTTTTTTTTGCACTTGTTTCTTTCAAGGCACAATATTTAAGTTTTTTCTTTATAAACAGGAGAGAATTGTTTTTTACTAAAAAAGATACTAACTAAAGAATTACTTCGAAAATAAGTTTAACTGGATTTTTATATTTGTGTGCTTAACATTTTAAATATCTAAATGAACAAGTAGTTAGCCATAACATTTCATTAAATCAACTGAAGAACAACTGATAAATAAAGGAATATAACAACTAAACAATATACAGGCAAACAAGAATAAAATGCTATATAATTTGAATCTTCATCTTTCAAAAATCGTTCATCATCTTTAGATATTACTTCTTCTGTATAATCTTTGTTTGTTTCGGATATTTATGCAAAGAAAAACAAGGGTTATCTGTGCTGTCCGTCCTTAACTTTCAAATTATAGATTGGAGGGAATGAAGCAAATCACCAATTAAAGACCCACACAAAGAATTTCTGTTAAAGACCCTCACAAATCATTTCTGTTAAATACCAACACAAATCAATTCTGATAAAGACCCTCACAAATCAAGAACGTTGCAACTGTAGGTTTATGGCAAACTGCTTTTTGTTATATTGACGTCAATCTCCAAAGCTAGTAGACGATGTTATATCACAGAATCACGATATATATATATAGTAGAACCCACGTAAGCACACCAGGGGGATCCGGCTGGGAAGCATATTTGCTCCAGCTAGTAGCTTCGTACAAAAAAAAATCATTGTAAAGCTTGATTTTTTGTGTTTCAGAGTTAAACACTTGGAGGAAACAACCTTCAAACTTTCAAATGTCCGGAAGGGAAGACTGTTCAACAGGGTATGTACTTAGCTATTGAAAAACTAAAGATGAAAAATCATATTGGTTAGAAAAATAAAATGCAGTAAAATGGCTAGGAACATGGTAATATATTCTATTGTGTTTTATGTAATTATTACTTGTAATATATTATCTATAATCTACTTTAATCCAAGCTGTCTCAATTTCTAAATTTTTATCGCTACCGAATAATTTTTTTTCTCAAATTCTATTTTGTATATATATATATATATTGTTTATCTACTACCATCTTCTTCTAACTTTCCTTCCAACAAATTAATTGTCCTTATTCTCTTTTCTCATGATATTGTCTTTCAGTGTTATTATGTTGAGAGACTTCTTTAGATCAGCTTGTTTACTTCTGTGGTGCTTCACAGTGCTCTTGATCATGTTTTCTTTTTATTCAATGATCTTGAAATGTTATTGGTCCATTACTGCTTTATTCTCCTATACTTTTATTCGTTCGTTATAGTTTTTTGACTATTTCTTTTTCCTAGGTGTCGTGTTTTGTATTGACTCTGATACCATTTTTTATATTTAGTATTTAACTTTAAGTGTTTTGTCTATATATTTATACACACACACACACATATAAATATATATATGACTATATTTCTTATTCTTATATTTGCTATAACATTTTAAAATGTATTAAAACTCTCTTTAGCTCCAGTATACAAAATGAGACTGAAGTTAATTTTGTTTAAATGAATAACGAGTTTTGTAATTCATACACTTGACAGCAAATTCATTTGTAGTAAATGGTTGTAATATTTGGCTCTGTGGGTGAAGGTGTCTGTACTGTGTGTACCTGAAGACGTAATATTTATCATATAGATGAATTGGCCTGCAGTTTGTGGCATAAATGAATGTGCTGCCTCAATATATATATATATCTGAATGTGCTTATTCATTGTAAAATCAGTAGCCATATTACTTGACTGACTGAAATTGGTGAATGCCTACTTATTATGGTACTTGTAAACTTACTACCTAACTGAATAAAATAGCACATCAATATATTGTAGTAACTGATAACAGTTTAAATAAAAGTCTTGATTATAATTCATTACTTGTGGATGTATTACAAGAAGGTATTGGCAGATTACTGTGTATATAATAGGGTGATGATTAGACACACTGCTTAAAAATATTTAGGAATCTATCGTCATATTGTGACAACTAAGATGGCAATAGATAGTATTTTACTAAAGATGAAATTATCGACTGATTATTTAAATGCTGCTGTAGATAGTATTATTAGTGAGTGCAATTTTCGCGACAATATGAGCTTTGTTTTATTGTGTTTATGTACATAACCCTCAAACAGATAGATAAATGCTGCTGTAGATTGTATTATGAAAGCATGTACTTCTTTTCACAACTATATGGATAATACAATCTTTGTTTTGTTGTGCTTATGCACATAACCCTCAACTAAATAGATAGATAATACTGTAGATGGTATTATAAGCACATGTACTTTCTGAAAGAACTCCTAATTATAGCTGAATATCTGTGGAAGTAGTCCTTTAAAGTACGGATGAATATAGCTATATGGGTAGTCCACTTCAATATATAGATGAATGTTTCTGTATATCGTAGTGGGTGTGATCTTTACACTTGAATTTAGTAATGCTACTGTACTAATGGACGTATTACTGGACTGTACAACTAGGCTTCACTCTATCTTTATGTGCATGTTTATATATGTATATATATTATCAGCCTACATATTACGATTTTAGAGATGTGCTTATTTGTATATATGTGTGTGAGAATAAATATATATATATATATATATAAGTAAATATATATAATAGTATAAATTACATCAATCGTATATAGGCAATCAAATCAGCGCAATATAACAATGATGGAAATTAGTATATAAACCGAAACCGAGAAGTTTATTATTAAATACTAAAAAAAATCAGAAAAACTAAAAAAAAAAATAGTTGATAGTGACAAGGACTGGCAATAGACAATTTTCTTTTTTAGGTTAGAATTTCATAATAGATATCTGAGTTTTGGTTTATATACGTATATATGTCAGTAGTAGACGTACTACTCGACTGTATAGATTTGTCTATACATTTGTAACTTTTTTTACAAGCAATCGATCATTTAGTGAATGCTCTCTGGAAAGAACCTACTCTGGTTGAACGCTAATAAAAGACGCGGATGTCAAGTAAGCTTATGGTGGCGTGAAGGGAAAATGCATAGTGAAAATGAGTTTTGGTGTATTCTCTTTAACAGAGATAAAGATTACATAATATAGATAGTCTGTACTTAAATAATTAGATAATATTTTACAAACTATTGATTCTTTCTTATAAACGAATATTTTTTCCTAAAGTAAGAATAGAAAAAATAATAATAAAATAACCACTAGAACCAAGTCAAATAAACAGAAAAATATGTGTGTTATCTTTACCATAAACAGTTGAGAAAATGCCTTTTCGATATCAAGTTTTCCTATTTTTGACTGATTACACTTATATATACTTTAATGGCAGCGAATGACATAATTAGCCAATCGTATCTTCTATATATTATTGTTAACCTAGAAGTGGTTTTATAGTTTCTCTATACGTAATATTTCTGTTTACAGAAATATTATATGAACACTTTTCTATGTTTGTTTATTCAAAATTTTCGAAAAACAACCACGTATGTTTTAATATACACACTCCTTATAATAATTACGGGATATTCAGAGCTTTCTATAATCTAGCTATTACAAAGCGCAACTATTTTTATTATACAATGTCACTGGTTTCCCTAGGTTTTTCTTTGTATGCAAAACAAGTGTCAGGCGACCAATGTGGTTTAATACGCAAATACCTACCAAAGGAGTTCAGGTCCACACATATTCATTTGGCACCACAAACCTTACAATCCAATAATTTTGGTAATAAGGCGTAGAGCTATTTCACAAGCTGCCAGGGTAATACGGCTCACTCGTTCATCATAGCTGCTTCCACTTCGTTAACATTTTTTGGAGGTGAATCACGTGCTACTACGCATCTTCTAAAGCATCTCATAGATATTCAATGAGGTTTCATTTCGGCCGGTCCATTCACTCGATACCTTCTTCTAGGATGTTGCTAATACTAGAGCACGGTAGTGTGTTGTGTCATCACTCATTCGAATGGTGTAGCTCATACAGATCTGTGTGAACACCAACAATGATCTCTACCTCAACCAGTCACATCTTGTATTCCTTTCATGAGAGAGACGCTGTTTCGAATCCCCGTTCCACCAAACAAGCTCGCCCTTTCAGCCGTGGGGGCGTTATAATGTGACGGCCAATACCACTATTCGTTGGTAAAAGAGTAGCCCAAGAGTTGGCGGTGGGTGGTGTTAAATTAGGGACGGCTAGCGCAAATAGCCCTCGTGTAGCTTTGTGCGAAATTCAAAACAAATCAAACCAATCCTTTCATGAAATTGGAGTTGAAACTGTCCCGGGCACTTTTCAAACATGCTCACTTCTCGCATGTTTCTGTAATGTGAAGGAGGCTTTACCTGTGAAAAAGACATTCGCCCACGTCATTTGAACAGTCTACATATTCTTGACACTACTGAAGACGAAATGCTTTGTGACAACGAATCAGGGGAACTAAGCTATTGGTCAGCTGGTGAACTGGTCAGCTTATGAAACCTGATTCTAACAATTTACACGTTGACTTGTAGAATAGTTGCTGGTCTAGCTAGTTGATCCAGTTGGGAAGCTGATGGTTACCGGACGCTTCAAGCCCATATTGTCATCGGTTGTTGAAACTGGTCTATCCTTTCCAGAACGTCAGCCAACTATGCTGATGGTTTAAAAGCGAGTCCATATTATGCTAACCACACTTGGGAGACTTTCAGATATTCTGCTGTGACTCGACATCCTGGAAACAACCGATTGCTTTTGCTTGGATAGTGGCATGTTTTATTATCAGCATAGATCTTTTTACACATTTTGCGTTTGTGTAAAACTGCTAAATGAGAACAAACTCTATTTACTTCACTCTTATATATATAACTTGAAAACTGTATGTTAAGTCATATGACCGGCCACATGGCATTCGTTCTGTATGAAAGGAACTTAAGGATGCCATTGGCACTATTCAATAACAGTAGTTGTCCATTAACTAGAATATAGAAAGACTTGTTTATTACTCCATTCTTCAGAACAGTGTATATTACTGATAACAGAAAAGCACGTTGGAAAGCTTACGTTGATAAATCACATCTCTTAAGTCCTAATAGCGTGAGCCCTATGCCAGCGTGCTTGTGTTATGCACCCTTTTATACCCGTGGTTTATATAATCCATTAAATATGATGGCGTACGGTTTTTACCGTGATACAAAAAAATACTTTAACGTTTAATAAACATAGCACATCAATATTTTTCTTAGGTGTCATTCTTTTACATTTGTTACGTTTATACTTAGCACATTTGAGTTGTAATTTTAAAGATAATAAATATAACAGGATTTTTAAAATAAAGATATACCCTTTAGCGTATAAGGAAACATATGCCAATATTGATATTATGCAAACATTTATATTTTAAACATTACATAAAGTAGAAAATCTATATCGTCCAACATATCATAGATAATCTTAGATAAGTAAGACTAGAACTAATATCAAATGTGCAACATATAAAATTTTCTACATTACTATGTTAATTGTAAGATTACAGGTTTTAAGTTAACTACTTATTTATTAATTTATCTGAGAAAAAGTAAAATTTATGCAAAGATAATACGTTCAGAAATTAAGTTGCACTATTTTATTAGTTAGTTAGTGTTTCTGTTAGTGGAAATGCTATCTTTGTTATAAAGTCTGACGGATACTTGTTCTGCAAACATTGATTAATAATTTTTACCATTACTGGTAAGGAGACGTTCATTCTCACCAAGTAGGAAGTTTTCTGGATATACTTATACATAATATAAATACTTTAATGGGTGATTTTTTGTAACTTAAGATTTTCCTAAATACA